GAGGAGAACAATGGCAGCGTCCTGTGTCTGTGTCAGCCACACCCGTCAGCGGTTTAAGCTCTTTATTCGATTTCTGTTTTCAAAAAAGGAGGAGAAATGATACAGTTTAGCATCCACATTGTGAATGATCTTGATTAGACGTGTGTGTTTTTTTTTTTTTTTTACAATGTTTGTTTCTTTGATTAAGCCATTAATTCCAAAGTGTATTCTCTGATGAGCGGGTCGACATGAGAGATAATAATGTATCGTGTACCTTAGGTCCAAAGGCCCGGGTGCTCTGTGTGTGGTATCGAAAGGCAAGCTATGAGAAAACGTATCGACGAATGTGTGACGATGGCTGCTAATGCATGGCTGTACTTACCGCGAACAACTATAACCCCGACCCCCCCCCCCCCCCCCCCCCCCCCCCCCCACGCTCAGCAAGCATCAGTTCTGTTTTTGGTGTAAATATTGCTGCACGTTTCCTTTCCATTTGATATTGTTTACGCGTCCTGGAGGGCCTGGACTCCGCCCGTCGGGTCGGGGGGGCGGCCGCCCGAACAGAAACGCTCCCGTTTGCACAGTTTCCGGGGCAGAGGCCGACGGCGGGCGGAGTCCAGCGGGGCGCAGCACTGCTTCACGTGAAGGCCATGTGTAAATGTTGTAACAGCAGAACTGTTTATGCCATTTGTTTGTTTTATTTTTTAAGAAAACTGTTTCCGGCATGGCACTGAGTTTTGACACCGGTTTTTCTTGTTCACTCTGTTGAGATATCGGCTTCTCCTACTGGCAGCAGTGCCGTATGTAAATAAGTATATAAATATATATATATATGAAATATATATATATAAAAAATCTCATGAACATAGATTATAAATATAATATAGTATGAATAAAAGCAAGTGAAGATGCTTTTGTGTGTCCAGTGTTGTCATTAATGTTCCTCATAACCATATAAAGCCAGACCCAAAAATGGATAAAAAATATATTTTTATGTTTATGTTTATGCATTTTGCAGACGCTTTTATCTAAAGCGATTTACAGAGTAGACACAATATTACATTTCTCATCACTATGACAATAAGTGATAATAAAAATTTTAATAAAGGAAAAAACTGATTATAATTACATGAAATAAAAATGCATACGTATTTCCAGCAAAGATTTTTTTTATTTCAATTAATATAAATACAAAAGGAGTACATATTCCAAATGACAGGTCTCCATGATGGTTCATTACATCCATCAGGTCACTGACGCTGCACTGTGTGTTTTTCGCCACTAGATGGCGCCACTTGCCCAGCCTTCTACCGGCAGAGCCGCTTTAGTGGACGGCAGCCGATTTAATTGAGGGACTCAGAGGTGACTAGAAAATTTCAGACTTTAATTTGAAGTCTATCTATCTATCTATCTATCTATCTATCTATCTATCTATCTATCTATCTATCTATCTATCTATCTATCTATTATATATATATATATATATATATATTATAATTTTGAATTTAAAAATGATTAATCAAAATCAGTTAAATGTAAATGTTTGTGCTCTTTATCCAGATAACCACATCTACTTTCCAGGATCTGGTTATTATGGACACGGATTACATGTTAAATTTAAATATTTCAGTATTTATATTACAGTAACAGAGTTACAGGCTTTAGTAGCTGAAAACACTCAGTATTAAAAGTACAGACGCTGGTTTGGTGCTTCCCTATATCCTAAACATTAGGCGTAAAAGTGTATAATCATCAAAAAAAGTTACGCACGTTTTTTTTGTGCCTATTTATTTCCCACATATATTAGTGTGTGTGTGAATGGGTGAGTAAGGTGCATTGACTTAAAGCACTTTGTAGAAAGGTGCTTTATGGAGTTCAGTCCGTTTTTATTTTAGTTCACGGGCAGTTCTGCCACATCCAAGATGGCGGATTCGTTGACGAGTCGCTGCAACGGACGAAAAACGGTAAGGGGCTACCGGGCTACCGGGCTACCGGGGGCCGGAGGGGGGCTACCTGTAGGGGGTGCCGAGTGCCAACATACGAAATAATCTGAGCAAAATTATTCTTTTCCAAGGTTTTCAATTAGCACACCCACACATACTGTAATTGTATAGCTGGGTATATATATTTATATATATATATGTGTGTATATATATTTATGGGGCGTGTGGTCAGGGGAGGCGGAGCCTCACCGGTCATCATCACCAGACAAAACATACGGTAACATATTAATATTTGTCCGCTGATTTTTATGTATGAATAACTGCGAACATTTTGCCCTTAGTGTGAGTGTGTGTGGTTGTTGGTCCTTGCGTGTCTCTGTGTGTCCCTGTGATGGACTGGGGACCGTCCAGGGTGACCCCGCCTCTCCCCATTGGCTACTGGGATGGACTCCAGTTCACCCCCCGACCTCATTAGGGAATAAGTGGTAATGATAATGGATAGATGGATGGATGGAGTCTCAGAGCAAAAGCTCAAATTAATTTCACATGTGGATCCGTGCAGTCATTTGTAAAATTCAGAGGCTAATTTACTCAGTTTTGCACCTCAAAAAATAAGTGGATCTGTTGGTTTCAGGATGTTTCTGCTTCCTAGAAGACCTCCAGAGCTTGTCTGCTGTTAAATATTTGCATTGCACTATCAGAGAATAAACATCGATCACACTATGACGTAATCCAGCAAATATACAGGTCCATTTAACACTACTCATAACTAGACGATCACAGAAACAGCTCACTGACGTAGCCAGCTTGTGATTTGAATCTCACCCTGAGCTCTTCCACAGGTTGTAGACGTTTCCCTGCTTACATTATTCACATCACTGGGCAATTATCAGGCCTGCTCAGAACTGATTTGAGGAGATCTTGACTCTGACACCTCTGTCCTGGGGAGTCTGGGGGCGGATTCTACCCCTAGCTGAAGCTTTTCAGCTTTCCTAAATGTTTCCTGCTTGTGAATGGCCTTTGTATCTGTAAAATGAAAGACTCAAAATAGTTTGGAAATGGCCCTATGACCCTTTCACAGATCAACAGCAGTTGCTGGTGTCTTTCCTCCTTGGCGTTGGGAACTCCTGGTCAAGGAGGGTTTTGTTTGTCCCAACACTGGCTTTTGTTTAGTTTTTAAAAAATCTTATTTCATCTGATTTATTTGAATAAACTACTACAAATAAAGCCAAAGTGCATGTGAGAAGTTGAGATCTTCACCAGAAATCTGTGAACAGACTTCCTGTATGAATAAAGAGCTGATCTCAGAAGGAGATCTGACCTCTTTACCTGTGTCTGCACTCACCAATAATCTAGGGATTGAAACTAATGCCGGAAAAAAACAAAAGTGGAAGATTAGTTACAAATTCAGACACTTTCGGTGGATGTCTCTGATAAACCTCCAAAGAGAGGAACTCCTTCCCTTCTTGAGACACGATTCATGAACCTGCCATCGGTCTGATCTGTTCTCTTCATGCCGGGGTTGTTCTCTTCGTTCGCCTCATTTCCTCCACCATCATTCTTCATTTGAATGAACAATACGTTGTGCTCCGAGTGCAAATCAGCTCAGCCTCGCTGCTAATCCCACTGTTGTTTCAGCCACTCGGCTCCGGGGAGATTTACCTGAAGCAATGGGCCGAGGGACTGGCAAATGACTGGTTTTGTTTCACCATCAGGACCAGCCTCGGGGGAAAGGATTAGTCAAAGACGTCCACCCAGATCTCTGGAGAAACGATCTGAACCATGGGGAGGATGGGCTCCAGCTCAGAGAGTAACAAACAGAGAGATGTGGTCCGAACGGTCAAACCTTCCCGTCGGTGTGAGGGAAATATGGGAATAATTGACACAAGACCTCATTATGTCTGACTGATGTTTGCACTGTGTGCTCCTTTGCATTTGAACGGTACATTAGGAGGGATTTGAATGCAAAGACGATCTATTTGCTGGAAGTCTTGCAGAAAAGAAAACAAATTCTGAACCGGTCACATGTAGTCTGTGATTGATGTTTAACCTCCGGACGCCAAAAGTGCAGAAACTCCTTTTTTCTTTGGGTTGATTTTCTCCCTCAAGATCTGAGAATTCTATATAGACAGCCTTTGAAATACATCAGTTTCTGGAATATGATCTGGTTCCATACACTGGGTTTGGGATTGGACTGGAGCAGAGCAGCTTTGGGACTCATGGCCTCACATCTGATTCAGAATACTTTGGTATAAATTCATATACATTTCCGGAAAAGAGGCTTTCTCCTGCAGCCCAAAACAAACCAATTGCCCTGTCATGACCTTTGACCTTAACATGAGGTAGAGTCTGAGATGTAGCTGTTGGCTTTTGGACCTCGATGTCAAGGATGGACTTTAAAAATATATATAATTATGCTTTGATTTGTAGGGAATTTTTCATGTGTTTTTAATCAAACATCTGCCTAAATTGTGCTTTTAATTCAGTTTATTCTGTTACACTCTACAGGGATCTGACATCAGTAAGACTTTTAAGAGCACAGCCTGCATTGGTGGGTTTTGAAAAAACAAGCATAGACCTAAGCCCCCCCCCCTTCCCTCACAAAACCGGACAGGGACCGCCTGTTTTCTCATCCAATCTCTCTCATCCAAAATCAATCATTCACCTGGTGTCCGAACTCATTTGCATCATCCTATAAAAACAGCACCAAGCCGAAAAAGAAGCAGCAGAATTCTGGAAAGGAGGGACAGATTTCCATGTTCAGCAACCAAAGATCAAGCTAAAAGACGTAAGTCGATCGTCTAGTTATGAGTAGTCTTAAATGGACCTGTATATTTGCTGGATTACGTCATAGTGTGATTGATGTTTATTCTCTGATACTGCAATGCAAATATTTAACTCAAAATGATCTTTGGAGGTCTTTTAGGAAGCAGAAACATCCTGAAACCAAAGATCCACTTATTTTTTTAGGTGCAAAACTTAGTAAATTAGCCTCTGAATTTTACAAATGACTGCACGGATCCACATGTGAAATTAATTTGAGCTTTTACTCTGAGACTCCATCCATCCATCTATCCATTATCATTACCCCTTACTCCCTAATGAGGTCGGGGGGGGTTGGAGACTATCCCAGTAGCCAATGGGGAGAGGCGGGGTCCCCCTGGACGGTCCCCAGTCCGTCACAGGGACGCACAGAGACACACAAGGACCAACAACCACACACACCCACACTAAGGGCAGTTTGGAGTCCAGCCAACCTAACATGCAGGTCTTTGGACGGTGGGAGGAAGCCGGAGAACCCGGAGAGAACCCACAGACACAGGAGAACATGCAGAACCACCCAGAAAGGTCCTGGATCCCCCGGGATTCGAACCCAGAACCCTCTGGTCCTGGTTCCCCCGGGACTCCAACCCAGAACCCTCTGGTCCTGGTTCCCCCGGGGACTCGGACCCAGAACCCTCTGGTCCTGGTTCCCCCGGGGACTCCAACCCAGAACCCTCTGGCAGAAAGGTCCTGGTTCAGGTCTTGTTTTCTGATTTATTTATTTTTTTGTCTCCACAGTTGACCACTATGGGGGAGGCTTTGTTTGTTATCCTTCTGATCACAGGTGAGATGGCATGAGTTCTCCTCCGATTCAACACGATTATTGAGTATTCAGACTCCAAACAGCTGGTTAGCCAGTCTACGGTGCTTATCCACATGTCCAGTGCTACTCTAAGCATTCAAACGCAGCCCGTTTTTACACATTCACTGTTCATAAACGCAATAATGAGGCACAAAAAGGTTCACTTTAACATCAAATCATAAATACCAACACGGTACTGGAAACACCGCTACTAGCTAAAAGTAAGCAGAGGCTGTGCTCTTTGGTCTCATTCATTAGATTCTGGAGCCAAAGATCATCCAAACAAGTCAGATTGCAGACATATTATCATGACAAACTGCACTCGTGTTTAATTTTTGTATCCCCCTTCTCCCATCAGGTGTTTGTGTCACCTTTACCTCCACTTACACCCTCGTAAAAGGTTTTGAGTCTTGGTTTTGGGGACGAAATTACTGCTCAGAGAAGTACACTTCCCTGATGACAGTGGACAGTTCCTCTCTCAACGACAAGCTGAAGGGCGCCTGGTCGCACAGCGGAAAGGTCTGGATTGGGCTGCGAGCGGGCCTGGTGTCCTGGACTTGGCCGGACGGAGAAGAGGCCTCATACTTCAACTGGGGGCCAGTTGTGTCGGACAGCCCATACGAAGATCTCTGCGCGGTCATTTCTGACTCTGGAGCCTGGACCAACCTCAACTGCTCCCTTCTGAGGCCGTCCGTCTGCTCTAACGGTACGTAGGACTGGCTGGGTCCTCCCTGTGTGTGAGGGAAGCATGTTTTTTACGTCAGCAGAACTCTGGGCATTAGCTGCATTTTTCTTCTCGTCCTGAAAGAGTTTCATATTCAAATATTTTTTTTTAAGACAAGACTTTTTTTTAAAGACGTTAAAAGCATCTTTATGGTACTGTTAATGTCTTCCTGAGGACTTGTCCTTTGTTCTGTTTTTTTATTTTTACTTTTTTTATTTTTTTAATATTCTAGATAATTAGGATTTGAAACCCTTTCCCTCCTTTTCTCTCCAAACTATAACCAACTCTCTGGAAGATGGAAATCCATCAACTACTAAAACCATCTGCAGTAATAAAAGGATTTGAATAGAACTCACTATTTGGATCAGATGAACAGAAATAATGTTCTCTGTTTTCATTTTTTTTTTCTTTTTAGTTTAACAGTACTTAAATACATCGATGATGATAACAATTCAAATTTTTGTGTTGAAAATCTGCTGTATTAACTTTACAGGAACAAACAGAGTTATTCTGGAAACCACCAGTGCTGCTCAGTTAGGACAAAAAACATCATGTGCTGGTGGTTTAATATATTTGGTAAATATTGTACGTAAAAACGAAATTTTCTGTAAATGCTCAAACGCTCTCAGGTTAATCAGAATTTTACTCTCAAATCTGTGGATAACTTTACTCCATTTTGCGAGGAGACGGTGTCTCTTTTCGTTTGTGGGTCCCAGAGGAATGGCCAGAGATACTTAACCCTTGTGTGATGTTCATATTGTTGTTATTCAGCCAGTGTTTGTGGGTCTGATGGACCCGTTGCATTTTGTGGCTTTGAATGCCTCAAAATCAAAGACTTTTATATCAAAATACTGAACAGATGTTCAAAGCTGTGCCAGTGTGGTCCCGCCCCCAATTTTTAGCAGATAGACAGAGGGTCAAATGTGCGCTAAAATTAGAGCAGACAGACAATGTGTGGGAACCGTTTCTTTTGTGTTTGTGCACCTGCAGTTCCCACACAAGGTTGTGAGTGTGTGTGTGTGTTTGTGTGTGGTTCACAGAACATTAATTTCCATACCTCTATTAGCCCCGGGTCCAGTGGACCCGGACATCTTATATGTAATAGAAATGTGTAGGGGGGGTGTACGGTGTGTGGGCATTAAATATGTATTCTGATATGTGTTCTTCACAGAAAATGAGCCAAAGCCAGTGAGTCTCAGTTTGAAAAATTAATTCATTGTATCGTTTTTCTTTTAGTAAAAAATGCAAACGGGTCCAACAGACCCGAACACCACACAAGGGTTAAAAATGGTACCAAAAGCCTTAGCTGAAGGGCTGGATTGCTGTACGCCACCTCACTGTCTCCATTTCCACAGGAAGCCATTTCACTCTTGAGAGTGAAATGAGCTGGACGGAGGCCAGAGCGAACTGCGAAGACAAGAATCTGACGCTGGTCCACATCCCAGATAACTTCACTAACGACGACGTCAGAAGCCTGCTCCCGTCGAGAGCCGAGGCCTGGATCGGCCTCAGCAGATCCCTGATCTGGTTCTGGTCGGACACCGGGGGACGGGCCACGTTCCTGAACTGGGAACCGGGGCAACCGGACAACCTGAGCGGGAACGAGCTCTGCGCCGCCCTGCTGCTGGGCAACGGGACCTGGAGCGACGAGCCCTGTGAAGAGCCCTACTACTTCATCTGCCAAGGACGTATGCAAAAAAAACCTCTGTCCCGCCGGTCCTAAAGTTTGCAGGAGTCCGCTGGGCCTCTCAGTCGGCCGTGGCTCTGAGACGAATGACCAGAGACGGACAGTAACGAAGTAGAACTACTTAAGTACTGTACCAAAATGCAGTATCTGTACTTTATTGGAGTATATCTTTTTTTCCCTACTTTTACTTTTACTCCACTACATATTTTTGATTAATTTAATACTTTTACTTTTATTTTCACGGGCTGAATCGTTACTCGTTAGGGTCAGGGTTAGTTACTGACGTTTACAGATATGTTTATTTATTTATTTATTTAATCAGGACAGTGCACATTAATGAACAATCTCATACAGATTGTAAATGAGCCAGATTCTAGCATCGTTGCTAATTCGCAGGAAGACAAAACAACACAAAATCACATAATACAATATCAGTTAAAACAGAGAGACACACGTTCAGACAATGACATTACAAAAACAAAATTAGTGAGTACATGTCTGGGAACTTTTGAGAAACAGTTTAAGGTAAATGTAAATACATATGTAAATATGCACATATGTAAATGTAATGAATCATGCCCAGTCATAGAGTCAGAGCCAGAGCTGTAGATAGCTCTGTCAGGGTCTGGGAAGCTGGCTCCTCATTGGCCGATTTGAGCAATCAAGCATAGCCTATAAAAAAATGCCTCCAGAAAAATTGCAAAT